GGAACAGGCAAGCGCGGCCCACTGCTCGCAGAGTGCCCACTCGCAGAGGGCCTGGATCCGCCGCGGGGGGTGAGGATCCAGCGCATCGGGGGCCAGCGCGTATGTTTGCTTCGGACGTTTGCGAGTGGGCACTATGCGAGCAGCGGGGCGCGCTCGGCGAGGAGGGGCGGCAGGCGAGCCTCCAGCGAGGCGGCGCCAGGGCGGGAGGCGGGCAAGGCCGGCAAGGGGCCAAGGGGAGGGAGCGAGGAAGGCGGAGCGGGGCGCAGCGGATCGAAGAACGGGTTCTCCTCTCTCTCTCTCTCTCTCTTTCTCTTTCTCTCTCTCTCTCTCTCTCTCTCTCTCCTTTTTTCACATACACGTGTATATATATACACATATGTATATATATATATATATACATATATATATAATCCCCCTGTTCGCCGCCGCCAGTGGAGAGAGCTACCCACGTGCGCGGGGGGAATAGATCGTCGACCGCGGACGTCGGCGTTGCCCACAGGGACGGGAGCGGGGAACACGAGCGTTTGAGGCCCCATCCAGGGCCCCCAGCATGGCCGAAATCGGAGCTCTCCCCCGAAGCGGCGGCGGGCCTGCAGGCGAAGACAGCAATGCACGTGCGGCGCTGGCCGACATTCACATGCTGTGGCCGGCGTCTCGAGAGGGGCACTGGTCTCGGCCAGATCCTGTGCCAGGGGGGTGGGGCCAAGCTCCCAAGTTCCCCGGCTTCGCCCCAACGAACACTGGCCAGCCCCGAGGAGTTCTGCCCGCGCGCACATATGGCTGAACCCTGTCGCTGCGATGTGGGCGTTGGCTTCTGGCGCCGCCTATATCGATCAGTCTTGAACGGTCTCCGCGACGGCGGATATCGTTTAGGATTGGCCTCATTCAGGACGCTGGTGGCCTTTAACCTTGAACGCCAGCGCTGGCGTCGCCGCCGCATCGCCCCCACGTCGACGCGGCCCAGACCTGTTGTGCACCAATTCTGGCCCGGCTCATCCTGAGCCCAGGCTCGGCCTGGGAGGCGTGTATAGGGCCGACCGTGTGCCCAGGATGGGCCCGGCCAGGACCGCTGCTTCTGCAGGCACTTCGTTCTCGTCGCCCGAGCCTGCAGGATGGTCACCGCTCTGCGCTGAACCAGGAACGCGGCCCGCTCGCGGCGCATCCGTTGCACCGACTGCAGCAGCAGGACGGAGGCCCTCATCTGCTCGAACAGCCTGTGGCACCGCTGCCCGCGCACGCGGCGCGCGATCTCCGTGACCGCGGCCTGCTGCAAAAGCGCGCGGCGCTCCTCGAGCGCCTCCAGCACACCAGCCTTGAAGTCCGCCGTCCCCCGCTTGCTGGGGGCTAGGAGGCGCGTGAGGCGAGCTGCTGAGCTCCAGGACAGGCTCGCGAGCCGTGCATTTTGAGCCTCGTCACACACCTCGTGGGCTTGGAGCTGGAAAAGAGCATCGCGCGAGTTCTGACTTTGCGGTGGATCAGCACACTTAGTACGTGGCGGCGATTGTGCATGCTCGCGCTCTTCTTGCCCTGGCCCGCAGTTGCACGGGAGTGGCTCGAGCGCGGTGGACTGACATCCGGCTGCAGCTCGGCCAGCGCGCCGCTGCTGACCAGCCAGTGGTTGGTCGCTGCGGCGGGGGGGGAGTGATACAGTCGAGGCGCTGACCTAAGGAACCCTAAATAAGGAACGAGGCCTCTATTTTCCATAAGTTTAACTTCGATGTTCCATCGAAACCCTAAGCAAAACCAAAGGCGAACTGCAAAACAACTAAGGAACACCGAGCCCCTCCCAAACTAAAAGGGTTCCTTCCTCAGTGCCCCGACTGTATGCTTGGCTGTCCCCCTCGCCTCCACAGGGGCCCGAAGTCCCGCTTGAGGCGGGGTTTCAAGAGCCCCTCGAATCCCAAGCCCTCGGAGCCTTCAAATCCACCCTCCTAGCGCCGCCGTGATGTCCAGGATGCCCTCCGAGATAGCTCGAGAAGGGCTCCGACACGCCGAGGAGGCCTCAAGAGGAAATGAGGATGTCCTGTGGCACCAAAAAAACCCAGAGAGGTCCCAACAGAGCACCCAGAAGCAAAACAGCACACGTGCATAGACTTAGATAGTCTTGTGAGTACGTCATTATATAGTGTAGTCCCGCATCTGTGAATGTAAATATGTATATGTACACATGTACACACATAAATATACGCACATGTATATGTTCGCATGGGCGCACACATAGATACGAATGTATAAGTCTGTACACATATACACATACATATGAGCACACACATGTATGCATACGTATGCACGGACGCGTACACATACATAGACATAGCAATAGCCATAGTCAGAGCCATGGACATATACATGCACATAAACATATACCCTGACATGGTATACATACTCACATACATACACATATGCCACACACATGTATGTTCAATTGTATACGTTTACATACGCATAAACGTCGAGATAGGTTGACAAATAAACATACAACCACCTATCAACCGAAATGGTTACCTGTATGTGGTGTTATGCCAGTACGTATGCGCGTACATGTACATCTGCATGCGCATACACCAACATAAACATGTACACCAACACGTGATACAAATAACCAAGTGCGCAAGCATAATAACGATACAAACACACATGTATCTCTACGAACGTGTTCATATACAGATCCCGATTGCATAAACATACACACGTACACGTGTATGTGCACATATGCATACATAAACACGTCCATCGATATGCATCGATGCACCTGTATCTCAATATATACCACATACACATATACATACATACAAATATGTATATCTGTGTGTATATATATGTGTGTACGCGTACGCTGCCATATAATTTCCAGACGCCTCCAGGAAGGTCCGGAAGAAGATGCTTCCGTGGCGAACCAAAATCGCACCATAAGTTTTCGGCTTGCCTCAGAGGAAGCCCCAAAATGGCTCCAAGACGGCCCAACACCGCCCAAGACGGCCTAAAAACTCTCCCACACGGCCCCAAGACCCTCCAAAAGACACGGGACCCCCGAAGGGACACCAAGATGGCCCCAAGAGGCTCCAAGAGATCCCCAAGGAAACCCCGTCAGGCTTTGGTGCACGCGCGTGCGAAGGATGGCACACCAAAAACCGTCGCCAGTGAGTCACACACCGAGAGATAGGGTTTCGCTAAGACCCTCCACGGCCCAGCAAGGGCCACAAGACAGGCCCCCATGTTCGGTCACACACGCGTCCAGGTCGTAGAAACAAGCTGCTGCCAGAAGGCACGCTGGAAAAGAAACCAAGCCTTCTTTTTGACCCCAAAATCCAAGCCCTTTCCGAACCCGAGCTGGTGTTAAGTTTAGCGTCTCGACCGGAATTCACAGCTCTGACTGGCTGGAAGTTCTGTGCGGTAGCCCCCCGGGGGGGGGGCGCAGCGACTCCCGTCTAGCGGGCCCCACAATTGCCACGTCCCCTGGTGCGGGCAATGAGAAAGAGAACAGGGCTGGACAGTCGAGGCCCGTGCTCTCACCACTACTCACCTCAACTTCTCCAACTGCGGTAGCTATCGTCATCCTCATGTTCCTCCTCCTCCTCCTCCTCCTCACCCTCCTCGCATCATCATCATCATCATCATCATCATCATCATCATCATCATCATCATCATCATCATCATCATCATCATCATCATCCTCATCCTCATCCTCATCCTCATCCTCATCATCATCATCATCATCATCATCATCTTCAGCATCATCATCCTCATCATCATCATCATCATCATCATCATCATCATCATCATTAGCATCATCATCGTCGTCGTCATCATCAGCATCATCATCATAATCGTCATCATGATATCATCCTAATAAGCAGCATCATCGACATCGACATCATGACCACCACCAACATCATCACCAGCATCACCTCATAATTACCACCATCGTCATCAGCACCGTCATCATCACAACCGCAAGCATCATAATTATCTTTATCGCCGCCAATACCATAATCGACATAATCGTAAACAGATTTAGCATCATCAGCAGCAGCAGCGTCATCATGAGCATCATCATGATAATCAGCATCATCAGCAACATCAGCGTCAGCATCATCATGCTGCCCACCATCATCATGGTCACGGTCATTAATCGTTGAACCGTCATCATCAACAGCCTTACCGTCGTAAGCATCATCATCACCATAATCAGCATCACCTTCATCACCACCACCATCATCATGCTTGCCATCATCATCATCATCATCATCATCATCATCATCATCATCATCATCATCATAATCATCATCATCATCATCATCATCATCATCATCATCATCATCATCATCATCATCATCATCATCATTATCATTAGCATCATCATCAGCAGCATCGTCACCAACATCATCACCAGCATCAGCATCAGCATAATAATCATCAGCATCACCACCATCATCATCATCATCAGCAGCATCATCATAACCACAACCACCATCAAAACCACCATCATCATCAGCATCATAGTCATCACCATCATCATAAACATCAGCATCAGCATCATTATCAGCATCATCATCATCAGCAGCAGCAGCAGCAGCATCATCGGCATCATCATCATCATCATCATCATCATCATCATCATCATCATCATCATCATCATCATCACCATCCTCACCATCGTCACCATCATCAACATCAGGCCTCTTCATCATTCGCCTCTCCATCATCCTGTTGCTTTCGAGGGCATCAAGGGGGACCACATGTACTACAGCATCTTGCACCACACACTGAGGACCTCGAGAGGCTCCAAGAGAGGGCCCAACAATGAGGAAATGGCTACAAGCACCCCCAAGCATCCTGCCCGCTCACCGCGACCCCCGTGCCTCCCTGCCTCTCCTGGGCATCACATTGTGCTTCGTCGTCCTCTCGCGCCGTACCCTGCTCGGCCAACTCTTGCCCCCCCCCCCTTACCCTTCAGGGCTCGGCGGAATGGCAAGAACATCTTGAATAAACTCGAGTGCGCCCAATCTCGCTGTCCTGCTCCGCGTTCGGGATGAGTGCAGCTACAAGCGAACGGCACTGCGTCAGCAGCTCCGCATTCCTAGAAGAAGAAACACGTGAATAAACATCAACGTTCGCGATTCTGAGCAGAGTTCTTGGATCGGTGCCGGTCCCGCACGCCTGGCGAGCGCGCCGATCCAACAAACCCTCGCAGACCTCCGAAAGTATGTTTACGAAAGTTTGTCTTCTTCGGATACCTGCCCATCTCGGCCAGCACCTTCGCGGCCAACTCCCGCTCGTTGGGCCTACCAGACTGCACGGCGGCAGCACCCTTCTGAAAACCAACGCCGGCCACGGCCCGAACAAGCACCGCGAAGCGGCCAACGAGCTCCTTCAGCGGCATTCGCGCAGGGAAGCCCGCTCGCGAGATGCGGATCGCCTCTGGGGAGACCGAAAGGTACCGATCCCGCTACCTCGCGGACTTCCCCCCGGGGTGCTTTCTGACCAGAATCTGGAGGCGAACCCAGCGAAGGCGACGAGGGCTCCCAGAAGCCCCACACGGGCGAAAACGAGGGACAGGTAGCGGAATCGGTACCTTTTCTCGGCAGCGACGGTAAGGGCGAATAGCCCAGGGGCGGACATTACACGTATTCGCCCGGGAGCCTTGTCGAAGACATAACTCATCGGCACCCCTGGATACACGTGTCGCTCTCCCCTGGGCTGTTCGCCCCTATCCTCGCCTCTGTTTTTCCTCCTCTGGGCCTCGATGACCCCGGCGCAGCGCAGCTGCTCGACGACCATCATGTTGTCCATCTCCACCGGCGACTTGTTCTTGTTCGGCTTGATGCAGCGCACGTACCTGGGCTGGCGGCCTCTGGAGGTCCCCGCCTCGGCCTCCCGAGGCCTCCGGGGGCTGGGACAGGGCCAAAGGGGTCCAGAAAGCATCGACCCTCGATCCTCGGGATGAGGAGGAGGTGGAGGAGAAGGAGGATGGGGGAGAAAAAGGAAGAAGAGGAGGAGGAAAAGGAAGAGGAGGATGAGGAGGAGCAAGGAGGAACGAGGAGGAGGAGGAGGAGGAGGACGAGGAAGGGTAGGAGAAAGAGAAGGAGAGAGGAACAAGGAGGAGGAGGAGGAGGAGGAGGAGGAGGAGGAGGAGGGGAAGGAGAAGGAGAACGAGGAGGAAAAGGAAGAAGATGAGGAGGAGGAGGAACAGCATAATGACACATGGATAAGGAGAGGAGGAGGAGAAGGAGGAGGAGGACGAGGAGGAGGAGGAGGAGAAGAAGGAGGAGGAGTAGGAGGAGGAGGAGGAGGAGGAGGAGGGGGAGGACAAGGAGGAGGAGGAGGAGGAGGAGGAGGAGGAGGAGGAGGAGGGAGTACTGCGTGGAGGTCTGCCCCACGGTCCACATGAGGTCCGCGAGCGAAGTCTTGAACTTCGTCACCACCGTGTCCGAGCCCATCTTGGCCTTAGGGCCTGCACCCTCGGCGGCGCCCTCCTCGGAGCCCTCCTTCGGCTGCACGCAAGAGTGACCCTAGGCAAGAGTGGCCTTTGGTGCGCGACTTTCGAGGGGGCGCCCGGGGGGGCCAAACCCAAGCGCTCAGGCCGCTGCTATCGCATCGTCTTCAGCCATCTGGGGACCCCGGTGTGCCCGCACCAAAGGTCACCCTGGCGAAGGGTCACTCTCACGTGCAGCCGACTCCTGCTCGGAGAAGACGTCGGAAATCAGCGAGTTCGCTGAGGACCGGAGCAGCGCGGTGACGTCGCCCGAAACGGCGTCCTTGTTGCGCTCGAGCCAGCCAGACGCGGTGTACATCACGGAGCCCGCGTAGTGCCTGATGGAGAATTGCAGCTCCTTCTGGGCCCCGAGCTTCGGCTGCGAGAAGTTGGCGTCTGCAGCGTGCGCTGTCCCGAGCTTCGCGACGAAGTTCTCGTCCGAGCCTTTGGGCCGCACACATTCTTCGTTGAGCATGGAGATGATGCCCAACTTCGACTCGATCAGCGCCAGAACTGGAGCGTTGTCTTTAAATTCGATCCGATCCCAAGGGATCCCCTCGTCGGCATACTCCTGCTGGACGGCCTTGAAGACGTCGAGGGTGAACTTCTGCTGCAGCTTCTCGTTAGCATAGTTGATGCACAGCTGCTCGAAGCGATTGATGGCGAACGACTCGAAGCCGAAGATGTCCAGCAACCCGACAAAGAATTGCGATTCGCTCCTCGCGGCCGTGGTTGCAGAGCAGATTTTTCCCACGAGCCAATCGAACATGCGCGAGTAGAGCTCTTTGGCAAGGGCGTCCCGCGCGGCGACGGCTGCTGGCACGTTCAACCGCTTGACCACAGACTCGTTGCGCATCTTGATGGTCCGCGATGTGAGAGCCTTGGCAAGATTTTCCGCGTCCACCTCCAGGATGGTCGCGACCTCGGCCGCCTGCCCAGAGGTCCCCGGGCTGACGGCCGCGGCGTCGTCGGCGCCAGAGCCCCCGTCGAAGTCGATCTGTCCGAGGAGGAGCACGCCAGCCAGCGCCTTGAGCAGCCTTGTCAGCAGCTCGCCATCCACGCCAACGAGAGCAAGGGCGTCGACCGTGGTCTTGAACTTCTCCCCGTCCGTTTCGCCCTCGATCTTGTCGGTCTTTGACTGACCCAGGCGCGTGTACCGCATATTGTCGCGCGTCTTGTCGCCGCCTAGGCCGATTGTGTCCCGCAAGTCAGAGGCCAACATCTGATAAAAGATGTGGTAGTTCCGCTCGCCCTTGTCCTGGCTGATGACTCGCGACTTCTCCAACAAATACGTCCGACACTTGGAGCCGACCAGCGTGCAGGAGCCGTTGAGCTGCAGCTCTATAAACTTGCCGAAGCGACTCGAGTTATCATTGCGCACTGTCTGCGCGTTGCCGAAAGACTCGAGCAAGGGGTTTGACTCCACGATGCGCTTGATGTGCATTGAGTCCTGCGAGGACGCGATGAACGCGAGATGGGCCATGAGGATCTTGACAGTTTCTGTCTTCCCAGCGCCAGATTCGCCAGACACCAGGATAGACTGGTCCCGCTTGGACTCCCTCAGATTCGAGTACGCGGTGGAGGAGGCGGCGTAGGCGTGTGGAGGCATCTTGGCCCTGTCGAACGTTGTGTATTCCTTCCGCCGCTCCTCCGTGAACAACTCAGGAAACCACCTGACCGACGATCGAAATGGGGTCTTACGCGAGATGGCGCAACGACCTCACGCGGCGACTCACGCGGGCCGCCAGCGCGGCAAGCCACAACGGAGACGAGGGCGTGCACGCGCGACCTTTCGCGGGCAACCTACACGCGAATGTCGGCGCAGTCAACCCTCTTATCTTCCGTCGCTCACCTGTACGGGTTCATCGCAATCACGATGTCCGCCGTGTAGGTGTACGGACAGTTCGCACTAAAGAAACGCACCCGGAGGTTGTGCAGGAGTGCCGCCTCATGGAGGTGGTCCAACGTGGTCATGTTGGCAAAGCCCGCCTCCGGCATGTTCGCGTTCTGGAACGGCAGGCTGCCACCTTCCATCTTGGAGGCGTCGAACTCCACGATCTCTCCCGCGGCATTCTCGCCGGTCTGGTCCCCCCCCTCCCAGGAGTCCAGCTCTACCCTGTAGCGGCCCGAGCCAAGGGCCGCGACCACGCTGGCTTTCCTCCCGGGGCAACGCCGGGAGCCGCGAGGAAGACGACGACGACGACGACGACGATGACGACGACGACGACGACGGCGACGACGGCGACGGCGACGGCGACGGCGACGGCGACGGCGGCGGCGGCGGGTCCCCGTGGTTCGAGGCGCGAGCAAGGGGGGTCCAGGGAGGGGGGAAGGCTCCCCAGGACGACGACGACGACGACGACGACGACGACGACGACGACGACGACGACGACGACGACGACGACGGACGACGACGACGACGACGACGACGACGACGACGACGACGACGACGACGACGACGACCGACGTCGACGACGACGACGGCGACGACGACGACGACGACCACAGACCTGTCCTGGGCCGCGTTCCGACCAGAGCTTCGCAGGGGCCCCGGCCGTGGCCGCGAGGGAGCCACCAGAGGCCCAGCGCGGTGAGGGCTGATATATATATATATATATATATATATATATATATATATACATATATACATACATACATATATATACATATATATATATATATATATATATATATATATATATTAACGCTTCGCGGGCGCACGGGCGCCCTGGTCGGATTCGAGCACGCGTGGCGCAGGGGGGGCACCCGGGGCAAGCCTCAAGTCGGGCCTGTCCCCCGACAGGGGGATTTTCGACGAAAAATTAAAAATACCCCAAAAATACCCCCAAAAGGTCAAAAAATAGTCCAAACATAGTCTCCAGACCATGTTTGGATTATTTTGTTGACTATGTTTGGGGTATCTCCTATTTTTCGTCGAAGATCCCCCTGTGGGGGGACAGGCCCGACTTAAGGCAAGCCGCTCGGGGCCCTGGCTCGCCCTCCTGGGGCCCACCGTCCCCGCGCACTGCAGCCGCGCGCACGCCGCGGGCCTCGCGGCCAGGGCCCCGCGCCGCCACGGCGAGGGCATCGGATACGGGGCAGGGTTTGATACATGGGATGCTTAAAACACAGGGCTGCTAATACATGACTAATGTATGCATACTCCAGATCTCGTAAGAAAAGGGAGGGGGTCTGGGCCCTCCAAGACAAGCCATTTCAGACCCCCCCCCCGTGGGAGAAGCCTCCAAAACATCGTCCCCAGACCCCCCCAGGCCCTCCAAGATAGCCTGGAAGAGACACCCCCCCGAAATGATACCCCCTCCCTTTTATTACGAAATCTGGAGTAAGTTAATGCATGAGCTCCTCGTTGTTTTTAATACTGAACCCCTGCATTTTTAGTACATGATCCGCACGCGGAGCATGCATTAGAAACGGCACTGTAAGGAACCATTGGGTAAGGAATCCAGGGTCTGGAGGCTGGTGGAGCGCCACTCGTGGATTGGCCATGGATATCACTGCCGACCTCACCAGAGAAAGGAACCCTCCGGGGTCTGAGGCCCCCTGGCCACACTCCTTCACGAACGCCCCCACCGCAGTATCCGTAGCGCACCTGCAGGAGCACAAGGCCTCCGCAGAACCGCACAGCCCCTCTCGAGTCGAGGACCTCGACCCTCGAACCGAGGATCCTCCTCAGGCGACGAGGGGGGCGACGGGTCGCGGGCCCACGGGCACCGAATCCTCTGCTCCATCTCTTTCGGCATCTCCTGCGCCCGCGCTGGCAGCAGCCTTCGCGTGTTACATCATGCCCAGGTCGGCGCCTCTACAGCAGGGGCACTGTCACAAGAAACCTTCCACAGGACACCCAACCCTGGGACCCCAGGATGTCCGTTGCTGTCTGGTGTGGGAACCTCACGCTGCCCACCGCCAAACCATCGAAGCCCACGAAACCCACGGCACCACGGAGCTGATCTGCCCCGATACGCAACACGAACCACACGTACCGTATCGATACGGAACTCAACACGTAGGCTGAAAACGCAGCTCCGACGCGAGACATTCGCCAAAACGTGGTCCAACACGCGGAGCCAACACGCAACGTACTGACACGGACGTCTTGAACATGGGACGTGTTGCGCTTCAAAACGCGGAGGAGGCGGAGGAGGAGGAGCAGGAGGTGGAGGAGGAGGAGAATGAGGGGGAGAAAGAGGAGGAAGAGGAGGAGGAGGAGGAGGAGGAGGAGGAGGAGGACGAGGAGCAGGAGGAGGAGGAGGAGGAGCAAGCAGGGTGTCTCTCGACACGGGCCCCCACTGTGCGTGTGCCGCTTCTCGCGAGGGCCGCAGCGAGCCTGGCCTTCGTGTCCGCCCGACGGCGACGGCGACGACGACGACGACGACGACGACGACGACGACGGCGACGGCGACGGCGACGGCGACGGCGACGGCGACGACGACGGCGACGGCGACGGCGACGGCGACGGCGGCGGCGGCGGCGGGTCCCCGTGTTTCGAGGCGCGAGCAAGGGGGGTCCAGGGAGGGGGGAAGGCTCCCCAGGACGACGACGACGACGACGACGACGACGACGACGACGACGACGACGACGACGACGACGACGGCGACGGCGACGGCGACGGCGACGGCGACGGCGACGGCGACCGGACGGCGACGGCGCGGCGACGGCGACGGCGACGGCGACGGCGGCGGCGGCGGGTCCCCGTGGTTCGAGGCGCGAGCAAGGGGGGTCCAGGGAGGGGGGAAGGCTCCCCAGGACGACGACGACGACGACGACGACGACGACGACGACGACGACGACGACGACGACGACGACGACGGCGACGGCGACGGCGACGGCGACGGCGACAACGACGGCGACGGAGACGGCGACGGCGACGGCGACGGCGACGGCGACGGCGACGGCGGCGGCGGCGGGTCCCCGTGGTTCGAGGCGCGAGCAAGGGGGGCCCAGGGAGGGGGGAAGGCTCCCCAGGACGACGACGACGACGACGACGACGACGACGACGACGACGACGACGACGGCGACGGCGACGGCGACGGCGACGGCGACGGCGACGGCGACGGCCCCGTGGGTCGAGGTGCGAGCAAGAGGGGTCCAGGGAGGGGGGGAAGCCCCGCAGAAGGAGGCTGCCTCTTGGAGGGCGCCGGCCGCCCCGCTCTCCCTCTCTGAAAGAAGCCACGGGGGCGCGCCGCTTCCCGTGAGCAAGGGCGCAGCGTCTTGGAAGCACGGGGCTGCTTCTCAGAACCATAGCCTCTCCCTCCTCCTCCTCCTCCCCCTCCTCCTCCTCCTCAGCCTCCTCCTCCTCCTCCTCCATCTCCTCCTCCTCCTCAGCCTCCTCCTCCTCCTCCTCCTCCTCCTCCTCCTCCTCCTCCTCCTCCTCCTCCTCCTCTTCCTCCTGCTGCTTTCCCTCCTCCTCCTCCTCTCCTCCTCTCCTCCTCCTCCTCCTCCTCCTCCTCATCCTCCTCATCCTCCTCCTCCTCCTCCTCCTCCTCCTCCTCCTCCTCCCCCTGCCGCTTCTCAGAGGCACGCCAGGGCCCTCCTCTGAGGAGCCACCGCCGGCTCCTCAGAAGGGGCGCCCGCGCCTTCCAAGAGGAGGGTGTGGGGTTTCGAAAAAGCCCTCTGTGCGTGGCAGACCCGCTGCCTCCCTCCTCGCCGTCCCGGCCCGCCGCCGCCCTCGGTGCCCGCCGGCCCGGAGGGCCCACGCGGCCTCGCGCCGGATGCCGCCGAGGCCGGGAGGGCGTCGAGGCCCAAGGCTCCTGCTCCGTGCCTTCGCCCCCTGCGGGGCACCTCGAGCTCCTGGCCCCCTCCCCGCCCATCTCCCTGCCCATCTGCCCTGTCCTCTGCATCTCCTGGCTGTGACCGTCGCACTCGCCTCCGTGGCCGCCTCGCCGCCCTGCCTCGCCAGCCTGCCCTCCCGTGCTGCCTCCCCGCGGGCCGCCGCGGGCCACCGACGCCAGGGGTGTGAGTGCGCGCCCTCCCGCCTGCGCGAGAAAAAAGATCAAGGCTCCCCAGGACGGCGACGCTTATCCCTGAGGCCGGCCCTGCGTCCTGAGTCGCTCCGCGAGGATTCCCGAGGGTTCCTCCCCAGGGGCACCTTAGGCAATCCCCGTTCCCTGCGCCAGCACGCCGCGCTTCCCGCACCCGCTGGCCGTGGGAGCGTAGGCTCGCCGGGCGCCGCGGGGGATGATGAGATGGAACAACACACCTTTAAGGCAGTCAATATATTCGTGTATGTCTATATATATACACACACATACTTCAAACTCCGTGAACAAAACAAAAAAAAAAAAACGTGTGATGCTCCTCACTCGCGGGAGGGAGGCAGGATTGGGGGTTGCCAAGGATGCCCCTGGCACGGGGTGTCCACGGTTTTCCCCCCTGAGAAATCCTGGAGACGCCATGGGCCAGGTGAGTATCGTTTAACCAATCCCCATCCCAAGCGGCGTGGCCTGGGCCCCACTGGCCGATTTACCCCCTAGATGGGGATATAGGCCGTTCCCTTCGGGTTTCGAGGGGCATATCCCCAACTGGGGGGAAATTTGGTGGGGGTCTCGAAGGGGGTGGGGATGGGGATGGGGATCGTTTAAAGGATACTGAACAGGAGAACCTTGTCGGCTACACGAGAGGACTCTGGCCGAAGAGGGCGGAAAAGCCTCCGCCGCGGTCTCTTCGCGACGAACGGTGGTCTGGGTTCCCCCCCTCCGCACGCTCCTCCTCCTCCTCCTCCTCCTCCTCCCCTCCTCCTCCTCCGTCCTCCTCCCCTCCTCCTCCTCCTCCTCCTTCCTCCTCCTCCTCCTCCTCCTCCTCCTCCTCTCCTCCTCCTCCTCACTCCTCCCTCCTCCCTCCTCTCCTCCTCCTCCTCCCTCCTCCCCGCCTCCTCCTCCCTCCTCCTCCCTCCTCCTCCTCCTCCTCCTCCTCCTCACCCTCCTCCTCCTCCTCCTCCTCCTCCCTCCTCCTCCTCCTCCATCCTCTCCTGCACTCCCTCCCTCCCTCCCTCCTTCCTCCTTCGGGGTGTCCTGGGTTCCCCCCTCCTCCTCCTCCGCCTCCTCCTCCTCCCCTCCTCCTCTTCTCCTCCTCCTCTCCTCCTCCTCCTTTCCTCCTCCTCCTCCTCCTCCTCCTCCCTCCTCCTCCTCCTCCTCCTCCTCCTCCTCCTCCTCCTCCTCCTCCTCCTCCTCCTCCTCCTACTCTCTACTACTACTACTACTACTACTACTACTACTACTACTACTACTACTACTACTACTACTACTACTACTACTACTACTACTACTACTACTACTACTACTACTCCTATCCTTATTCCTTATTAGAATATACTCCTACTCCCCCCTCAGGCCGGCCATTAGGGGCCGCATCCGGGGGGTCCCATCCTAACCTGTAAAAAACAATACAAAATCAACATTTTTCTTATTTTTTCCTCTCGACATGGACGTCCTGTCGTCCACGGCGATAATCCATTGCAAAAAATACCACAAAGAGCACACGCGCGCGTTCATGTCAGAATCCTACCGAACACCGTGTGTTTGCAAGCATTTCAACATAAAAACATCAAAAACCCAATGCTTTTTCACAAAAATTGTACAAATTTCCCGCCCGGGCTCTCTTGCTGAAATCATAGGAAAACCATAGGAATCTTAAGAATTCTGTCAAATCCAGCGATTTCACGTCATCGCGCGGTGCACTCGCGATGCTCTGTCATGCACCCAGGCCGCGAATCCTGTGCAAAAAATACCACGCGGGCGACATGCGCGCGCGTCGCCGCGAGCGCATGCTCAAATCCTTCTAGAGTCGTCGCCGTCATTGGCACCGTCGCATGGACGTCCTGTCGTCCACGTCGCAAAATGCATGGCAGGAATGGGACGCGGCGCACACCCCGCGCCCGCCCATCCAATCCGTCCCATTCTAATCTGCAAAAGACAATACACAGTTTTTGTTTTTCTTGTCAACATGGTCGTGCTGTCGTCACGTCGCAAAATGCGTGGCAGGAATGGGACGCGGCGCACACCCCGCGCGAAGGGGTGACATGTCGCTCTCGCCTCGGCGCCGCGCACCAACGTTTTTCCTCTCAGCATGGACGTCCTGTCGTCCACGTCGCAAAATGCTTGGCAGGAATGGGATGCGGCGCACACCCCGCGCCCGCCCATCCAAACCCCCCCGTTATAAAAAAAACAATACAAGTTGGGGCCTTCTGGACGCCTCCTAATGCAATCCCATGAATCGTATGGGCGCATGGGGTCCCTTGGGGCCTCCTGGGGCCTTCTCGTGATGCCAGCTTTGCTTCTTATGTTGTGGGAGGGCGGGTGGGACTGGGCATGCCATGCTTGACTCGCTCGAGCTGGCTAGCTTGACTCCTACTCCTACTCCTACTCCTACTCCTCCCTCCTCCTCCTCCTCCTCCTCCTCCTCCTCCTCCTCCCTCCTCCTCCTCCTCCTCCTCTCTCCTCCTCCCTCTCCTCCTCCTCCTCCTCCTCCTCCTCCTCCTCCTCCTCCTCCTCCTGCTCCTCCTGCTCCTCCTGCTCCTCCTGCTCCTGCTCCTGCTCCTGCTCCTCCTCCTTCAAGCTCCCCCAAAACCTGTCCCAGCGTGCTCGTTGTGGCCAGAATTTCGACGCGTACCCAGCCGTGGCGACGAGGGTGCCCCGGGAGGCCCAGAAAGGACGAAAAACACCCAGCTCCCGACGGCAGGTTCGTGTCGTGACGACGTTCAGCCTTGAGCGACTGCGGCGTTCCGATAGCGCGGGTCGTCGGACATCAACCAATTCCAACCCACTGGCGGCGTTCAACCTTGAACGCCCGGCAGCGGGTCCTGTTCAAGATGGACGGGAACGGCTGGTGGTTTTCGCCCCCACTCTTCCCGTCGACATTTCGATCGCACTGGTACCCTGGCTCGACGCTCTTCCTCCTCTCTCGCGTGAGTCCCGAGCAATATGGACCTCCAGTGGTTGGCCTGGGCCCCTTCGCGGGGACCCACTGTCATCCCGAGCCGGCTGTTTTCCACAGCCCCACGGCCCAGAGAGAGAGCCCCCCCGATGTCGAAACAAGCTGCCAAACCATCCCCCCGCCGCGCTTGCAGCACAGCGCGAGGACGGAGGCCGCCCGAATGGGATCGAAGTGGGCGGGGTCGGTGAACCTCGCCGCGTCGCCGATGCACCCGCGACGTCGGCGATGCAGCGGTGACGTCGGCGCAAGGACAAACTCGGGCTGCGCGTCGAGCCGCATCGCCGACGCATCGGCGATGCGGCGCGGTCCGCCGACCCCAACTGCTTCGGCACCACTTGGGCAGCCTGGAGGGGAGAGCTGGGCTCCCAGACATCGGACGACGCGATTTTTTTTTTCAACTGGCGGCCCCGAGAGTCCCAGCCCCTGCCCCCGGGGCTAATTTCTTGCCCCGGGTCCGTCTTGGACTGTCCTGAAGCCCAGAGGCCGAAACGAAGGAAAAATGTCGAGACTGAAAAAAGCATCGGCGGATGCCTGGGCTGTGGGTTGTCTATGGACGACGAACAGAAACGGCACGAACACAAACCTTTGACGGTGCGCGTGGACTTCTTGGATCTGCGCCGAACCCCCCTCCCTGGCGCGCAGCGCGCGCCATGGGCGGCGCCAGCGGCGCCGCCAGGGGGGGGGGCCCAACGCGGATCCGAGAAATCCGCGCGGGCCGCCAACAGTTTGCGCATGTCTATGCCGCTTGCGTTTCGATTGTTGCTACCAGCCTGGAACATATCCCTATCCCTATGCTGGGCATCGCCCCATCACGATGCCAATCTCAGGGATTCCCTTATTTTTTGAGGGCGCCTCCCTAAGATTGTCATCGCCTTTTGGCGTGTCAATCTTAGGGATAGGGATAAGTTCGAGGCTGGTAATGTTGTGAGGCCAGGATCCTCCACGCCCCCGCATCGTTCAGCACGTAGGCCTTGGCGCCCTCCATCGGCCCCCCGCGCTCCCCGGAGGGCCGCCCGGAGGGGCGCGCGGTGGGTTCCCGGGCCCGGGGGGGGGAGAGCGCGTGCCGGGCAACGGGGCGCAGAGAGGCAGCGGCGGCGACCGCCTCCTGCTCCTCCTCCTCCTCCTCCTCCTCCTCCTCCTCCTCCTCCTCCTCCGCCTCCTCCTCCTCCTCCTCCTCCTCCTCCTCCTCCTCCGCCTCCTCCTCCCTCCTCCTCCCTCCTGCTCCATCCTCCTCCTCCTCCCTCCTCCTCCTCCTCCCTCCCTCCCTCCCTCCTTCCTTCCTTCGGGGGAGTGAGGCGCACGCGGACACAGCACGGTGCTGTGTGCCCTCCTTGGCGGCGCGCGTGCGACCCAGACATTTTTTGGTCTGCGGGTCGAGAGCGGGCCTCTACCGGTTAAGAGCTAGGCGGGGCGCGCAAAGCACTAATTGGGGAGACAGGGCGCGGGCGGGCGGGGCCTCAGGCGGCCGCGTCCGACCCGAACATATAGGACTCGAGCATTTTGGCATATCGTTTCCCGAGCGGTAGCGGCCAGAAAGCGCCCGCCACACAAGGAGCTTAGCAACATTGTGTTCGAACGGCGCAATTGCAGGTGCAATCTAGCCCGACCTGTATAGCCCCAGTTTCTCCACACCGATATCCTACGCACATCTGGGTGTACGACTTCTTGCTGCTGCTGCGGTGATCCAGCCCTTCCCCAGGAGCGACGCGAGTACCGAGAAGCCTTTTTGAATATGCTTCGTCGTCAGCTGCCGCGGTCGCCGTTCGCAGCACCTGGGTTGTCCAGTCGGCGCGCGGTCTACCTGGATCACCGCGGGGGATGCTAACGGGATGCGGCAGGCTTTTGTCGTCACGGCCCTGGCGCTGGTTTCTGACACCGCGTGACCCTGGTGCCTTGTCCCCCCCTTTTTCTTTTCCTCTTTCGACCGCTCGCGCGGCCTCCTGGCTGCTGTCCGTCCCCGTGCCGCGAGCGGCCGGGGAGGGGGAGGAGCGAACTCTGCCCCCCCCCTTGCACCCCGCCGCCCGCTGCGCCGCCCCTCCCTTTTTGCCCTCTGAGGTGCCGGTCGGGGAGGGGTCGCACTGGCCGCGAGGCCAGGGCGCCGTTGCCCGCGGTGGTGCCTGGGCCGACCCACGACGGGGGTGAAAGACCCTTCCCGAGACGGGGTCGGCCCCGCGGCCCTGCCCCGGGAGCGCAGGGGCGGCTGCGACCTGAGCGGGCCGCGCGCGGGGGGGCGCGCTGGGGCGGCGCGCGCGGTCGCGCGGTGCTCCGGCCCCCGTCGCTGCGGTATGAAATGAAATGAAAAAACTTGAACGATCGACAGCCTCTCGATCAACAATGTCCAATCTTGAACGCCCGCGGCGGGGTCGCCGCCGCGTCGACACGACGCGAACCGGCCGTAACGGGACAGGGGATGTCAAGTGTATGTTAAGGTGCGCTATAACTTGCCTGGCCTGGCTAACAGTTGGGTTAGAAGCGCCCTCATGGCCTCCTGGGGAGTGCAATTCTAGGCTGACTGGGCTCTGCCAGTTTAGCGAAGTAATCCAACCCCCATGAGCCACTTCGGGTACCAATGGCATTTTGCGCACCTGCGACCCATTTATGGGCTAGGTCAGGCCAGGCACAACCCACCGCAGCGTCATCGTAGAACTTCCATGTGCCAGACTGCTGCTCCACAGACCTCTCCCGGGGTGCGTTCAGACAGTCCGCATGGCGCCGCCGCCCCATTGGCACACCCCTCACACGTTTCGTGGCCCAACAGAGGGCGCCATCTAAGGCCCCAGTGTCGCGGCTCGCATGGCGCCGCCGCCCCATTTTGCCTCACACGTTTTGTGGCCCATAGGGAGCTCCTCCTAAGGTCCCAGTGCCGCAGCTCGCATGGCGCCGCCGCCCCATGTTTGGCACACCCCATTACACACTTCTTGGCCCCACCATAGGGAGCTCAATCTAGGGCCCCAGTGGCGCCGCTCGCATGGCGCCGCCGCTTCATTTTTGGCACACCCCTCACACGTTTCGTGGCCCCATAGGGAGCTCCACCCAAGGTCCCAGTGGTGCAGCTCGCATGGCGCCGCCGCCCCACTTTGGCCCACCCACTAACACGTTTCGCGACCCCATAGGTAACTCCACCCAAGGTCCCAGTGGCCCAGCTCGCATGGCGCTGCCGCCCCATTTTGGCACGCCCCTCGCACGTTTCGTGGCCCCATAGGGAGCCCCACCTAAGGTCCCAGTGGCGCAGCTCGCATGGCGCCGCCGCCCAATTTTGGCACACCCCTCACACGCTTCGTGGCCCCACAGAAGCTCCACCCAAGGTCTCACTGACGCAGCTCGCATGGCGCCGCCGCCCGCCGCCCCATTTTGGGCCACCCCTCACACGTTTCGTGGCACCAGAGGGAGCTCCACCCAAGGTCCCAATGGCGCAGCTCGCATGGCGCCGCCGCCCCATGTTGGCACACCCCTCACACGTTTTGTGGCCCATAGGGAGCTCCTCCTAAGATCCCAGTGCCGCAGCTCGCATGGCGCCGCCGCCCCATGTTTGGCACACCCCATTACACGCTTCTTGGCCCCATAGGACGACCCATCTAAGGTCCCAGTGGCGCCGCTCGCATGGCGACGCCGCTCGACTTTGGCACACCCCTCACACGCTTCATGGCGCATAGGGAGCTCCACCCAAGAGCTGCGTTTTTTTGTTCGGGTTGAAAGGTATTTTTTTCGGGTTGGCGCGCTGCGGAGGCCCCAACCCGGAAACAAACCCAACCCGAAACAAAAACCGGATGGCAAATATCTTTTATGGGATGGGAGAGTTTTTTTCGAGTTGGGATGGTTTTTTGGGGGGTTGGATTTTTTCCCGGGTTGTAGGGTTTTTTTTTTTTTTTTTTTTTTTTTTTGTTTTTCAACTTGGGCCGGGAGAAGGAAAGGATCCAGGAGTTCCTGAAAATCCCCGGGAAATTAAGGCCCGGGCCCCTAAAAACCCGCCAACCTCTCTACTTCCAGGCTGCAGGGCTGCATGCGCTTTTGCTGCGCCCCCTGGGTGTTTCCGAAATGGACGGGGGGACGCCGTGCGAAGTTTCTCTCGCACAGTAGCTGGGGCCCCCTGGGCGAGCACGATCTGTGTGAGAGGCGTGCCGGAATTGGCGGGGGGACGCTAAGTAAAGACGGAGTTGTTTGAGGCCTTCGGTGGCGTCTCGAGCCGTGGTTTCCATGATCTTGGAATTGTGAGGATGGGTGATGCGAATCGGATGGTAGCATCCAGCTTTCGGTGGGAGGGCGGGCCGCGGAGAAGAAAAAGAGCCTGTCAACCCGAAAAAAAACCAGCTCTCCACCAAGGCCCCGGTGGCGCAGTCCGCATGGCCCTGCCGCCTTATTTTGGCACAGCCCTCGCACGCTTCGTGGCACCATACGGAGCTCCACCCAAGGTCTCACTGACGCAGCTCGCATGGCGCCGCTGCCCCATTTTGGCCCGCCTCTCACACATCCCGTGGCCCCCGAGGGAGCTCCACCGAAGGCCCCAGTGGCAGGGTTAGCCTGGCGGCGCCGCCCCATTTTGGCACACCCCTCACACGCTTCGTGGCCGCTCGTTCCAAATCTGGCGCCGTGCGAAGGACCCAACCATACGCAATTGTGAATACAGCAATTGTGAATACCATCTTCGCCCGCGCTCCCTACGTGGCCGCGGCTTCCCGCCGGAGCCCGACATGCTCAGGGGCACGTTTGTGGTCGTTTTCGCGGGCGCCAACGACGACGAGGATGGCGCCCCCCTGACCGAAGAGCAGAAGCAGGACAGGGTCCTGAGAGCCATGAAGGAGAGTACCATTGGCCCTCTCGGTGGAGCTCCCGATGGGGCCACGATCCTCTGAAGGGGTGTGCCGAAATGGCCCGAGGCCGCCAGGCGAACCCTGCCACTGGCGCCTTCGGTGGAGCTCCCTATGGGGCCACGATCGTCGTGAGGGGTGTGCCGAAATGGCCCGAGGCCGCCAGGCGAACCCTGCCACTGGGGCCTTCAATGGAGCTCCCTTTGGGGCCACGATCCTCTTAAGGGGTGTGCCGAAATGGCCCGAGGCCGCCATGCGAACCCTGCCACTGGCGCCCTCGGTGGTGCTCCTATGGGGCCACGATCCTCTTAAGGTGTGTGCCGAAATGACCCGAGGCCGCCATGCGAACCCTGCCACTGGCGCCTTCGATGATGCTCCCGATGGGGCCACGATCCTCTTAAGGGGTGTGCCGAAATGGCCCGAGGCCGCCACGCGAACCCTGCCACTGGCGCCTTCGGTGGAGCTCCCTATGGGGCCACGATCCTCGTGAGGGGTGTGCCGAAATGGCCCGAGGCCGCCATGCGAACCCTGCCACTTGCGCCTTCGGTGGAGCTCCCTAGGGGGGCACGACACGCTGTACCTGGTGGGTGAAACGCAGGGAGGGAAGAGGAGGGAGGAGGCAGCGGGAGGAAGGAAGGAGTGACGCGGGGCGCTGTCTCTTCAAAACGAGGACCCAACACCACAGGATGGTTGGGAAAATACCACTTGAAAGAACCATTCGGCGTGAGAACACATTCAGAATCGATTCGTTGATTTTTCGGCTGGCAGCCCCCCCCCTTTGGAACGCCGCTACGCCATGCTCTGTCAGGCCACGCGTCCTCCGAATCGTGCTCCCGCTGCAGCGCTGGCATCATTTCCGCGCCCCCGCTCGTTCCGAATCGTGCTCCCGCTGCAGGCGCTGGCGTCATCATTTCCAAATCCATGCCACGACATGGTTTTCGGTCCTGCCAAATTGGCCTCCGGCCTCCTGGGCAAGGGCTGCCTGCCGATGCTGCGGGGGCGCGCGCCAATGCTGACTGTGGACATATGCTGGGCCTTACGGGCCCCGCCGACGCACAGGCAGCAGAGGCGCGTCGCCACATGGCCCTGAAGGCCACGAGACGCCCAACTGGACAACGCTGGCGCTGGGAGCGCGCCCACCGCCCACGCGCGACAAGGAGCAGGGCGAGAGGGCGCGCGG